GAAAGAGGTGGTGGAACTGAGGAGTCAGGTCAATTAGAAGCAGGAATTGGAAATTCTGGTAATTTTACTTTACCATCAGTGATATGGTAATGTAGGACTAATTATAGTGACCAGAGGTTAAAATTGTGTATTTTAGCGCTGCTGGGACATTGCCCTGGGTCCTCTCAAACAGATTCCCATGAACCTCTTCATCATGTACATGGCGGGCAATACGATCTCCATCTTCCCTACTATGATGGTGTGTATGATGGCCTGGCGACCCATTCAGGCACTTATGGCCATTTCAGCAAGTAAGTATTTTTGAAGTAATAACCTTTTCTACATTTTAAAGGGTTAAAGGCAAATTTTTAGGCTCAGTTCTTGGCTAGAGGGTATTTAGGGTAGTGATGGAATGGTGTTTATCATGGTTTTTTGTTCACCGTTAATGATCCTATTTGTAGTATTATTGTGGGTTTGCTTATTATTTTAGTATATAGTTGGCTTGATTCTTATTGGGGAAAAAAATGTATTGGTTTTGACAGTTTTTTTTACCCCAACAGCTTTCAAGATGCTAGAAAGTTCAAGCCAGAAGTTTCTTCAGGGTTTGGTCTATCTCATTGGGAACCTGATGGGTTTGGCATTGGCTGTTTACAAGTGTCAGTCCATGGGACTGTTGCCAACACATGCATCAGATTGGTTAGCTTTTATTGAGCCCCCTGAGGTAAGGCAAAAGCAAAAACTGGATTTTGGACAGTTGTACAGTGAATAGGTGGTCCATTGATAGTGGAGAATTAAGAGTTCATTTTTTTTTTTTTTTTTGGAGAGGTTTTCGCTATAGGGTGCGTGTGCTTGCCAGACAGACAGACAGAGACATAGAGACAGAAAGCGAGAAATCACCCCCCAGGGGGGATGGTCACGCCGCAATCCCTTCTCCATTCTCCTCTTGGGATCTTGGGCACGCACGCACACGCACCTGGCGTGAGTTTTAAGCCACCGGGTCCGGGACGCGAACCATGGTCGACTACGTGGGAGTCCAGCAACATAGCCATTAGCTGGTTCCCAAGAGTTCATTTTTTTTTAAGAGAGATTTTTGCTATAGGGTGCATGTGCTTGCTTGAGAGAGAGAACGTGGGAAATCCCCCCCAGGGGGATGGTCACACCGCAATCCCTTCTCTATTCTCCCCTTGAGATTTTGGGCATGCACAGAGGCACACATGCCTGTCCTAAGTTTTAAGCTGCTGGGTCCAGGACTCTAACTGCAGTTGATTACATGGGAGTTCAGTGATATAACCATTACACCATCAGCTGGTTCCAAGAGTTCATTTCCTAAGAAGTAAGAGTATTAGGAGTTTGAAACTTACAATTTTAAATATAAGGAAAAATAGAGCTTGTTAATACAGGATTAAGTATAATAATTCAGGAAGTTATTTCAACAATTATTCACCTTTTTTTTTTCTTTTTTCAGAGAATGGAGATCAGTGGTGGAGGGCTGCTTTTGTGAACTGGGGCATCTAGTGCCTATGTATTTGGGTCTCATTTATATCCTTTATGCCCAGTGGCTCCTCAGCATACTCTTAATGTGTAACACATATTGGAAAGAACCAAAAAGCTCTTCGTGGTAGACAGAGTATCCTTGTAGACAAGGAAAATGTGCATATTACTACAAACACAAAAAAACTATATCACAACCTCTGACTGAAAATAATGTAGAAAACTTTATTTATGATTCCAGTACAGAGCAAAACAACAAATAAACCATAACTCTATGTAAACAAAAGAATGGTTGCTGCTAAATCAAAAACCATAGCAGCATCTTTCAATAAATTAAATGGTTGAGAATAATGCTTTAAAAAAGTTACACAATTTTCCCTTAAATCTATTTTAATATTTCACTTCTATTTAACATAAGCTAGGACAGTAAAATTCTGGTGGAGACTTGTGGAAGAAACTAAAGATGGATTCAGATTATACATGATGAAAAAAATAAACCAGACTAGAAGAGCACATAAATATGCTTACAGTGTAATTGTTATTTATTTAATACCCACATAGGGGGTTTGTAACATGTCTGGGGAATGAGGATTGATGGGATCCTTGGGGCCACAGGATTCTGAGGCAACAGAAGATAGTGATCTTTCCCCTGCCAGAAGGTACCTGGCACCTGTCAAGCAGGTGCTACAGTTCAAACTTCAGCTTTTAAGATAGCGATGGAATGTGGAGGGCCAGGAGTAGGAGAATGTATACCGTCATAACCTGCTCTGGTCAAATCATAGGTAAGACTTAAAAGCTGGATCTTACTCAAAAGGCAGGAGGAGGGCTTTCCTTTTTCTTCCCTCTTAAAACAAAGCCCCTTCCCCTAAGGTGCATTCTCTCTCAAGTTTTCAGTATTGCTTTATTTGCAGTGATTAAAAGGGACAAGACACTTTGCAGACAAACAACATATGCAACACATACAGACGTGAAATGCTCTAGACAGAGATGAGGATAAATCTGGCCTAATAACCATTTTTCCATGTAACAGTGATTTTAAGTCTTCGGGGCTGAAGGAGTGGCTATGTTAAGACCACTATTTCCCTTATCCCTTTAAAAGTCTTACAGAGCTCCAATCACAACAGTATTTCTAAAACAAACCTTACTTTCCACTTAGATTTGTCCTGTATGGAAAAATAACACTTTGGCCATGGATGTGTTTGAGTGCCGGGGAATTCCTGGGCAGGCTGATCTTTACAGCATGAATCTTTTAAGGTCTTGGGTCCTATGGGAATTGACCCACTACTGTTGTACTCAACTAAGCAATGGTGTGTTGCAGTGGGAGTTGTAAACAATGGTTCTTCCCTCTGCAGGAAGGAGCAGAAAAAACGATTTATGATCCTATCTGCTTTGCTATTGAAAGAAGAGCAAAGGGAAGAAATCAAAATGACTCAGTTTCTTAAGTCATTAAAAGGTTTTCTTTTCTGTCCTTATGGGTCAAATGAACTCAGTGACACCTAGGTCAGCTTGTTCCATAGCCTATTGAATAATCAAAGAAGAGTGGTACTGGTTATTATAAAGCAAAATTCAAATGCAGCCATGAATAGAGGCAAGACAGTTTCTCTAAATATCTATCCTGTGAAAGAAAGGAAGATTTCCCACACTTGAAACCACTGCTCAGCCACACAAGTTGTTTCCCTATACTTGTAAGCCAGGTGTTTTGTCATCAGGAAATCAGTAAATAAAAAGCGGACCTTTTACAATATTTTCCTTGGCACATTTAGAGCTTTCTGAAAACAAATAGCAGAGACTGTTATTGAGGATAATCTCTTAATTCACAGCCCAGTTTCTGCAATCAGAATGAACTAAAAGGAAAAGAGAAAAATGTTCATACTTTGGGGGCATCTAGGTGAGTATCTCAAGTCTTAACTATGGCTTTAGAGATGAGGCCACAGGTTTCTTAGTGAAGGAGACACTTCTGCAGTCAGGCCAGTGCCAGTCTGTATGCCACTTCAGTGAAGTAGGTGAGGAGAGTAGCAGCTCAGTAACTTTGGCACTGTGGGAAGCGTATGGCTCTAGAACTTCCATTGCTGAATTCTCCCTTAAAAATGGTCTAAAGCCCCCGGAAGGAATTTAGCTAGCCTTCCTAGTGTTTGTTCCTTATAACTTTTTGACCTGTGCCTACTAAGCATAAAAAAGGAAAAAATATATTGGTCAATGTGCATAATGACCTGTATTTCTTAGGTAACAGTCTATATGGTTTGCCCATTCAGATAGGTAACCATAGATTATATTTCAGCTACCTTTTGGAATTCTCTTGTTTAGCCACTTGAAAAGAACCTGAAAGAAATTATTTTACTTTTTAAGAAGCAATTTTCCATGGTAACACTGCCAGTGTTACAACCACAGAAGGGTTTTGAGTTAAAAACAAACAACTGGAACGTACAGTGACATACTATGGATACAAAGACCTGGCATTTTGGGGGAATCCTGTTTTTGAGAAAGAAGTATACAGCCATGTTTCAGGTTTCATACACTGGTACCCTAAAATTAAGAGTTCTGGAGAGCAGTGTGTACACTAAAGAAAATGAACTAAAAAAGGGCTTCATCTTGGTTTGCTGTGGGTTACCTTCACGAGGATAGTGTGTCCCCATGTACTTAGCCGTTAATTTTGGAGGAAGATGAAGCTTTGTCTGTTAGCTCCATGGTATCACTGAACCGTGACTTCTGAGACTTATCTTAAAGGTTGGATTTTTGTCTTCAGTTGAATTTCTAACGTTCCTTTACCAATTCCTTTTATTGGCTTAGCTCACTCATTATAACTTGCCTTTGACTAGTATAGACATGGCTTTTAGGATTTGACCATTGTTCTGTTGAGGTGCTTCATAAGGACAGCAAATCATATGGGAGCAAAGCAGGTCTCTCTGCACAGGTACTTGAGGCTTGAGAGTTCAGTGTGATGTGTATAGAACACAGGCCTCTTGTTGAGTGGGTCTGGTAGTAAAGATAATGGCACTTCCATGGAGGATGGAAGCCTTTTAGGAAAGGTGAGGCCAAGTAGAGTCATTCTGGAGATTATGAATAAATGGTGATGACTTCGCTGCCACCACCCCGGACAAGGAGGACTCGCTCTAGTCCCTCGGTGAGAACTTCTAGGAACTCCATATCTTCAGAATTGTCAAGGAGACAACTAGGCAGAAGAGCATCCTTTACAACATGGCATAATAAACTGAATTTACCTGATCACAGAAGTGCAAAGCCAGCATTCTTGTCTTTATTATTATAGACTCTGTATTAGACAAGTTAAAACTTTGGATTCAGTTTAACCCTGTGGAAGTAATGCAAAGACCTAGTCCCTTTTTATATATAAAATGAAACTCATTTGTTAGATATTTTCTAAATATGATTTAAAAAATGGAGAAATCACAATTTATTATGCTAAATGAAAAAATAACGCAAAAATGCCAAAAGATAATTTTAAAAAGAAGAAAAAGCCACTATAACGTAGCTTGTAAGATTCCTAGAGAAGGGACTAGCAGATAGCATAATGGTTACATCGCTGGATTCCCACATGGTTGACTACAATTCAAGCTGTGGACCTGGTGCCTTGAAACTCAAGCCAGGTGCATGTCTGTTCATGTTAAAAATCCCAAGAGAAGGTTGCAGCATCGCCATCCCCCTGGAGAGTGATTTTTCACTTTCTGTCTCTCCAACAAGCACACACCCTATAGCAAAATCTTAAAAAGTTTCTGGGGCGGGG